TGCTGCTGCTGCTGCTGCTTTTGTGGCTGCACTATCGGCTGTTCCTCTATAACCGTTTCCTCGGACTGATCGTCTATCTCCATGTCGACCACCTGCGGGGTCGGTTTGCTCTCGTTCAGCACGGGCGGCGGAGGTGCCACTAGAATCTTCATAGGCTGATTGGTGGATTTGCTTGCAAGCGGAGTAGTTGCAGTGCTGCTATTATTCAAATTCAATGGGGTAGCTAGTTTGGTGATGTGAACAACACCGGGTGGATTGATGATTTCATTGGGTACCTTCGGCGTGTCCTCAAACTTGCTTTGTTGATAGGGTAGCGGAGCGATATCCTTTTCTGGTAACTTCGGCTCTTCGGCCTTCTTCTTGAACAGAGGTAATCTTCCGATGAACGGTAACTTGCCCTTGGCCGCCACTTGCGGCGCGGATTTCTTGCTCGGGGCGGCAAGACCTTTCTTCGACTTCGACTCGCTTGACTTCTTGTCAAATTTGGATTCGTCGTTCGACGAATTGTCGTTATCTCCCCGCCCTTTACTGTACTTGTCATAGCCTCTCTTGGGACTGCTGTCACGCCAATTTCTATCACGTCTCGGAGAATCGTTACTGTCTCTGTCCCTGTCTCTCTTTCGACGATCGTCATAGTAATCACGGTCCCTATCCCTGTCCCTATCTCTATCTCTGTCTCTATCCCTATCCCGATCCCTGTCGCGCCGACTTCTCCTCTCGTATCTGCTATACTTGCGATCACGATCATCCTTGTAACGATCTCTATCTCGGTCCCTTTCCTCCTCTTTCTCCACTGATTTACTTTCGGGCGGCTTCACCGTCATGTTCACTTGCTGTTTAGTCCAGAATCCCATGTGCGGCTTCGGCATCTCTTCTGGTTTCGGCAACTCGATCGGTTTGTTTGTCACGATCGGTTGCGATTGCTTCTCCTCCTCCTTCTTTATCCAGAAAGGCTTGGGCGGCTCTTTCGGGCCCCAAGCCTCCAAGTCCTCTGATTTCTTTGAATAAGTGTCTTGCTGCAAGTCCTTTTCCTCCTCATCCTTTTCTTGACCCATCTTGCGACTTTTCATCTCCTCCTCCTGTTTGGCTTTCAATTTGTCCCTGATCGAATTCAGAAGTTGTCTGTCATCCGTCTCCGACGGATGTTGCTCGGGCAGCGGCGATTGGTTCATCTGCGGCGGTGCCTTCGACCAATTATGTCCTTTCAATTTTATACGCTGATAAT